ACAAATGACGTCAGAAAAGCGTCAGTACGTTATAATCGGTTATGGTCTATTACTGAACCAATACTGAATTGTCCTAGTCTGCATCGCGATGCATCGAAGAAACGATTAATTTCGACACCCCTAGTATCTGACCGTATAGGCGCGCACCTAGAGTTAAAAGATGACTTTTATAATTTATTTCTGTGATCAACGCTGAATTTTCAGCATCATTGATCCTTCAGAAATCATTCTAATATGCTGATTAGCTGCTCAAGAATTTGTATTTGTGTAGAAATATTTTGATCAATTTTTCATGAATAAATGTATTCATTTCATTGTTTCTGAATTATATATTGTGTCAAATATTGCGTTATTTATGGTTGCAGCATGCTAATCACTTCAGTTTTGGTGTGACTAAATTATTAAGAAGAATATCTCCTTCAGCAATAGGACTTTCTGTCTGGAATTGGGGTCACAGAGGTCATTTCCAATTCTGATACTAGATAATTATTTCACATATATCCCAACATTACCATATTAAAATGGCCTGAGGATCTGAAGCATCATGAATACTAAACTGCTTTATAATAGATCAGCCCATACTGTAATGAATCATTCGATTCGAATATGAGAGGTTCTTAGGAAGGCTTCTTAGGAAGCAAACAGCTGCTAGTTTATCATGCGGAGCAGACGTGGTGGTCGGTCTGGCATTCCTGTGGGCTCAGACGGACCTGCGTTTACCCTGTTCCTCCTCACAGCGCTGGGAGACTGTCATGTCACGTCTGTCTCTCTCCTCACAAAAACAACACCGACTCGTCTCGTTAAAGCTGATGTGTGTCATTTCTGCACACGTCATTGTTAACTTTCATAATGCGTCATATGAAACTGAATAATTGGAAATAATGTAGGGCAGGACTTGATTTTATCCATCAGGATTTGATTGGATTGTGAATATAATGGGTTAATTTTGTTTCTCTCCTAATATTATTTTATAGCATTATTAATGTGTTTATTTTCATTTTTAATAATTATTTGGAAATTGTTCATATTTATTGTTCATTTTTAATTTTTATTGAATATTAATGAGTGAATTAAACATGAGTTCATACTGATTTTAAATAAATTACTCTTAATGGTGGAAAAGTCAAAAAAAATTTCTTTCTTCCTCCTTTCTCAATCTCTGTTTCTCTCTCACTCTGTGTTTTATTGGGAGAAAGTAACCAACTTTTTATTAACTATTATGGGATTATTAACCAGATTTATTATCAATTATTATGGGATTGTTGAGATTTTTTTAAATTGTGTTTTTAGCAAAATTATGGAATTATTCAAATTGTTATTCTTATTTTTTTTATAATTGTCATGGGATTATTAGTATGTATTCTTATTTTTATTTAATATTAATTATTTAAATCAAATATGATTTCATATTGTTTTTAAATGTTACAGTAAGGATGCTAAAGACATTTCTTTCTCTCTTCCTTCTTTGTCACTCTCTGCTTCTCTTGCTGTTTCTCTCTCTCTGTCTCGCTCTGTTTTATTTAGGAGAAAGTATCCAGCTGTGGAGTTTGTACAGATTAGGGGTCATAACCTTGGCTGGCAAAGTTAGTCACTTTTAAACTCCATCAGACTAACTGCAGTGTTGAGGTTCTTATTTTAGGCAGTTTAATCACAGACAGGAGGTTGTGCTTCTGAGCTGCGTACAGTCCTGTTCATCTGTCTGAGCGTCTTGCCCCCTCCGCAGCACGCCATCGCTGGGTTATATCAGCCAGCCAACAACACTGCTCTCAATCTGGCCCCGGGCGTCTGCACTGCTATGTATGCAAAGCAGCTCGCAGATCACATGATCAGAGTGATGGAACAGCTTCCTGCTCCCAAACACTGTGGCCACTGCCTGGCGTCCCAGAATACCTACACAAGGTGTGTGTGTGTGCGTGTGTGTGTGTGTGCGTGTGCGTGTTGAAAATGAATTCAGCTCAGGTCGTCATCATTGACGTCTGTGTCTCTCTCCTCCTACAGCTCTGGTGCTATGACAACAATGCTGCTGCCTTCCCACCAATCACACCTCTATCTCCACAGACACATATGCATGCTGTTCAGTCCAAATATTTTAACCTCTTCTAGCGAGTATTGTGGCATAAGATAGATGTTTTTTGTAGACGTCAATAGTAAGATAATAGTGAGGTCGTGATGGGCAAATATTACTAAACCCTTTTAGGGCCTGAACATGCCTGGGACATAGTTTTACCCTAAAATCAAAAGATAAAAGCACTAAATAATATTTTTGCATGACAAAATGGAGCCCATTTATATATTTATTGAATTGTGGCATTATTTTAGTGAAAATTAAGCACATTAAGGTCATATTTTTTACCTCAAAATCAAAAGAAAAAATACTAAATTATATTTTGCATGATAAAATGGAGCCTATTTATAGATTTACTGCATTGTGACATTATTTTAATGACAATTAAGCACATATTTCCCCTCATATGCCCTTTGCCGTAATGCAATAAAATGTCATTTTCATTGCTTTTATGTGAAAGAAAAATGATACATTATTTAAAATATTTATGCAGCATGGTAAAATTTGTTGTAGCATTTATTAAACCTTTAAATAACATTGATTTTTTTTAACATTAATTTTAATCATTGTATTTCAGTAATATTAGTAATCTATTGTGAATAATGGGGGAAAAATAAAATGTCCAGGCACATGATGATCACAGGAATAGGAAGGAGACATGCTTAATTGTCAGAAAAATATAGCAATGAAAAAAAAAAAAATTATTAATGGAAAAAAAGGGGGGAGGGGGGGATCCTAAAATAAGCTTATATATAAAAAAAAGATATATATATGTTTTTTTTTGTTTTTTTTTTGTTAAATGTTCCCTAGATATGGCTTTTTTTTTTGGGTGGGATGTGCTCTTTAGTTTGCAAACTATTTCAGCTAGAGAATTTGGCACAAGTTGCCTGAGGTGGGCGGAGCTGTGTGGTAAAGGTGTGAAAAAGTGGGCGGAGTCAGTGTTTGTGAGTGTCAGTGTTTGTGAGTAAATTTGTGGCTCTCTGCAGGGTCATGCCAGAGCAGTTCAGACAGATGATAGAAATGAGAGCAGGAAAATGTGCTTAATAGTCAAAAAAAATTATATTGTAATGGTAAAAAAGCACCATGGTAATAAAATAAGCTTATAAAAAATATTTTAAAAAATTTTTCTTTTGATTTTGTGGTTAAATGTGCCCTAGACATGTTTTTTTTGTAGGATGCGCTCTTTATTTTGCAGACTTTATTTCAGCGGGAGAATTTGCCCTGAGGTGGGCGGAGCTCTGTGGGAAAGGTGTGAGAAGTGGGCGGAGTCTGGGTTTGTGAGAGTTGGGTTTGAATTCTTGTGTAAATTTGGTGCTCTCCGCAGGGTCATACCAGACCGTTCAGACAGACCAAAAGGAGCAGAACCACACGCATTCCTGCTCCCAATCTCAGTCATTCCGAGACAGAAGGAAAGGGGGAAGGGGAAGGAGGTAAAAAGAGTGTGGGAGAGGGGAGGAGAAGAGGGGGGAGATCGCTGAACGGACACAGCCCCCATCCCAAGCTGTTTCAGTTCGCGGCCACTCACGTGGGAGTCAGTATGTTGTGGAGTTGGAGACGGAATGTGGACGGCGCTGCAGGAAACATGAGATTTTAGAAAGGACGCGTGTCATTGGGTCACAGGATCGCCCCCTGGGAAGGTAAGACGTTTGTGCGGTTGTTGAGGTGTGGCGGCAGGCTTTGGGTTTGTGTTGATGCTTTTCGGTAGAAGACACGCTGCAGTTTCACGGCTTCAAAGACTCTGGATATCTGTCGAGAGGCAGAGAAGGCAGATAAAAAGGATTTCCCACATCTGAACTGCACTGTCTGTACGTCTGACTTTGTCTGTCTCTCTTTGACTTGCTCTATCTGAACATTCAAAGAAGCTTATTGACATGGTAAACAAGGGTTTGCATCGGCAAAACATTAATAACCATTACATGTTTATTGTTGGTTATTGTATACTGAACACAGATCTTAAAGTCTTTTTTGTAGATGTGCAAAGCATGTTAGTCACTTTCAATGGTTTCATAAGTTTATACATCTCTACTTTAGGTTTGTTGTTACTGAGGTTTCATGTATAGCTGGTATATCCGTAGTCATAATACCCCTGTTGGAATTTGAGTCATCATTTGCAATAAATCCTAAAAAATCCTAATGGAATCACATAAGAATTGCACAAGATTGTGTTTGGGTAAAATGTTTCCTTCATTATTGTTAAATTATTTTAGTGTCAGCAGGGTCCCCCACAGTCACAACCTGGAAATATAATGGAATTATATTCATTTATTTATTTTCTGTAAACGTTTTTGAGTTTTTTTTAATTGATTATATATTTTAATTACTTTTGTTAATTTTTTAAAATATGTATTGTTAAATGTTCATTCTTTTTTTTTTTTTTTTTTTTTTTTTCATTTTTCCGAAATACTCTAGTGTTTTAAATAATCACAAAATATTTCAGTGAAAGAAATTCAGTGCAAATTATCTCTATAAAATATATTTTAATTTCCTTATCCAGTGTTTGGGAATAACCATAAAAGTAAGTTGAGCCCTGTTGAGTCATATTGCATATTGTCTTTATCAGAACTTTGCTGGTATATTATTTTAATGTCTTTCTACTAGGTTTTAAAGAAAGATGTAAGAGTTTTAAAACCCTGAAAGATTTGCTTTAATGTCCTTGTGATGTTCTACATTGACATTTGATCCCATTGGGAACCTAATAGTCCTTTTGTGAACTATCTGTTCTTAAGATCTACTTGTTGGTTGCTGGAATTCTACGTTGGAATTCCTATTTGGATCCAAATGATGGCAAAAATTCCAATGAAGTTTGTTTGGCTGGGGATATGAGTTTGCATGTGTGACATTTGGATTGTGGTTTGCAAAACAAGTTTTATTTTGCCTTTAGCAACGTTGCATGTCTTAATAATGCTGCTTTTCCAATTGCCTGTTGCATATCAAAAGGTACATCCTGAACGAACAAAGCTCATTTAAAACATTGTTATTGTCTTCCACCCGTGGTCTTAAATGCTAATTGAACTGGTAGTTAATGACAGAACATCAACACGCAAACGCAGGCTTTCTGTGGGTGTCAGACGCCGTAAACAGTCCATGCGTGTGTCGTTAGAATGACAAAGCTCCTGTGCTGCTGCTATTGTGTAGCCGTGTGAGGAAGATGATGAATTGCAAATGTGCGAGTCGGTCAGAGTCAAGGAGAATCCCCTCTGAGCGTGTCCTGGTGAGAAGGACTTTAGACGGGCTGAATTCATTTGCTCTGAATGGCCTGAGAAAAGGAAAGGCTGAAAGACAGAAGGAATCTCTCATCTGCTGGTATACAGATGGAAATGAATCAGCTATCCGCAGTCAGGCAGGACAGGAGGTCAGAGCTGGTGGACGCAGCTGTGAAGTGCATTGCATCATACGAGAGCCAGTAGAGAACACATATGGAGAGTGAAAAAACTTAAAGCTAGTTTTGAGTCACAAGCAAGGTCAGATTTGGGCCAAAAGTGACTAAAATGTGGTGTCAAAAAGGTTCCTTTTACAAATTCTTGCTGTCTAACATTTCATATAGAGGAGACCGGGGCTAGTTGTCTCATTTTTACGTTAGTGTCTTGGTTTGTTTTTAAAACCCCGTTTCACCATTATTGATCAGGAGTATAGATTCACAATTCATTCAAAATAAGTTGACCCTTTGTGACAACATGCCCCAATAGCCAATTCTTCTTGTCTAACATTTAATGCACAGGAGACCGGGGCTAGTTGTCACACTTTGTACTTTAGTTTCTTGGTTTATTTATTTATTTTTTTAAATCTGATAGACAGTTTTCACCATTATTGATCAGGAGTTTGTATTCACAATTGAATGAAAACGCATTGACCCTTTGTGACAACATGCCCCAACAGAATCACAATAGAATCTCTGGCCAATTCTTGTTGTTTAACATTTCATATGGAGATAACCCTGGCTAGTCACACTTTTTTTTACTCTAGTTTATAGATTTTATTTTCTGAGAGACAGTTTCACTGTTATTGATCAGAAGTTTAGATTCACAGTCATTGAAAACACAAAAAAATGTCTGTGACAACATGCCCCAATAGCATCACAATGGGAACCTGCCATGAAATATTGTATGTAATAAGCTACTTTTCATGTTGATTTGAATGTATATTTAAGCCATAAGTGTTCAAATTTAAGATTTATGTCAGTTAATTGATTCAGTTAAAGTGTTTTACAAAAATTATTAGTGTGTTGTTATTTAACATGCCCTTTTGAAGGTAAAAATGCCCCTAAATACCAGTTCCTGGGGCAAATATTTGCACTTAATAGGCTAATTTCTGAAAAAATGCAGAAACAGTATCAGCTTTGAGGAACTAATACTTTGTTTTGACCGTAGTGCAGTTCAGTTTTCATAATCTCCATACGGAACCAGCAATCAAGCCAACAAAGGTTTAATTGTTATTTAGAACTAAACGGGTTTAATACCGACCCAAGCTTTTTCTTCCCTTGAAAGTAATTGATTGAAATAGTTTCCTTCTTTACTCGGGGGACACACTGACTTTGATAATTAAAAATGAGGCTAGAACGTGATTTTCATAAATACAGATCACTTTCATTGTGCTTTGATGTGGTCATTGCCGCTGGGTTCCGAGTGTATCAGCGTTGTTAATTAACTCTCTTGGATTGGTTTTGGGGGGTTAGAGGGAATCAAACCTGTCGTAAGCATGAGATAGTATCTCATCTTGCACTTATGCATTGTTTTACAAACAGATCCTTCAGAGTTTTATGACTTACGATCCATACCAGGAATACTTCCCTGTCAACAGGATGGAGTGACGTGTTCACACTAGCAGCTGGGATTGTATGGTGAGTGATAGTAGTGTTTAAACACGGGGAATCCCTTTTATCTGTGTGCCTCTCAACTTTCATGTCAAGATGCTGTGGTCTAGTTTTGTTCCATAACCCAGATAGCTGCTTTTTGGTCTACACAGGCAGCATCTTAATGTAAATGAAAACATACTGTAAGTAGGCATGGGCCGATTACCGGTTTCAAGGTATACCGCGATTTGAAAATGTCATTCCGCTTGAAAATGTTTCAAAGTCATTTAAAAATAACACATTTTAGAGCTGTAACGACAATACCGTGATATCGTGAAACCATTATATTTTTGCTTAAGGTTATCATACCGTCAAAATCTCATACCGGCCCATGCCTAACTGTAAGTGACTGATTTCAAAAGTTAGTTATTATTTTATTTAGTAGTTTTTATATACTTTTCTATAAATGTATTGTTTTTATTATAAATAGAAATATAAAATATATTAATATATGAAATGTATTCATTATTTATATACTAGAGACTCAACTACAGTTTATTCCATTATTTTATTATTTAGAATTTAATTTAATATTTTAATAATATTTTTGTAAACGTGTTGTTATTATTATTATTATTTATTACTTATATATTTTAATGTATTTTTTTGTAAATGCATTATTATTATTATAAATAGCAATTTGAAATTAATGTATTATAATTATATTATTTTTATAACTACACTAGAGATTCCAATAGTGCTTATTATTTTATTATTTATAATTAAATTTAATAATTTTTATATATGCTTTTATATTAACGTATTGTTTTTATTAGAAATAAAAATATTAAATAAATTTATTTGTCACTGTTTTGTGACTACACTAGAGACTTGACTACAATTTATTCCAGTAGGTTTTTTAATTTTATTATTTATAATTCTATGTAATATTTTTATATATTTCTTTATAAATTTATTATTTTTTAATACACGTATTATAATACAAATATGAAATTAACTTATTAGTCACTAGTTTTTCACACTAGAGACATGACTACAAATGATTACAAGTTTATCCTTTATATTTTTACTTAATAAAGTAATTTTTAATTTAAGAAATAAATATGAAATTAATTTATTATTGAACTTTTATATTAATACTCCGCAGTACTGAATGAAATAAGTATATTTATAGTTAACATTTCTCTTACTCCGATATTATATTGGAAAAATTTGTTTTCTCTGTGTACTGCATTATGGGATTGCCTTCTCCATGAATTATTATTATATTATTTTTATAACTACACTAGAGATTCCAATAGTGCTTATTATTTTATTATTTATAATTAAATTTAATAATTTTTATATATGCTTTTATATTAACGTATTGTTTTTATTAGAAATAAAAATATTAAATAAATTTATTTGTCACTGTTTTGTGACTACACTAGAGACTTGACTACAATTTATTCCAGTAGGTTTTTTAATTTTATTATTTATAATTCTATGTAATATTTTTATATATTTCTTTATAAATTTATTATTTTTTAATACACGTATTATAATACAAATATGAAATTAACTTATTAGTCACTAGTTTTTCACACTAGAGACATGACTACAAATGATTACAAGTTTATCCTTTATATTTTTACTTAATAAAGTAATTTTTAATTTAAGAAATAAATATGAAATTAATTTATTATTGAACTTTTATATTAATACTCCGCAGTACTGAATGAAATAAGTATATTTATAGTTAACATTTCTCTTACTCCGATATTATATTGGAAAAATTTGTTTTCTCTGTGTACTGCATTATGGGATTGCCTTCTCCATGAAGCATGC